TCTTTTTCATATCCATGTTTACTAAAAAATGAAATAAGCCTAATTCTGTAGTAAACAAAAAGTTAACATTAACTCAATTTTTCCTAAGACATAAAATTTTGCTTGCATTCAAAGGGTTAAATGGTTCCGTATACTTGTAGATTTGAATAAGAAAGTGAAATATTTTGTCCTGGTATCAAAGATAGGGATTCGTAACTTGTAAAATATGTAAAAAGATAAATGTTAATTAAATTTGATAAAGCTGTCAGTGCCAGCTCCATCATGTTTGATCCTGTGTGCAGAAAAATTAAGCTGGTATCAATTAATTAAAATTAAAAAAAATCTTTTAAAATTGTACGCGACTGAAACCATCTAACCAATCAGCTCTCTGTCGTAACGATTGACGTACGTATTTTTATTTTGGGGCTTTAAAGTCTTAATAAAGTAAATTTTGGATTTTACAGCGCTGTAAATGCAAGTCATTTATAGCAACAAGAGCTGCATTTTTGAGAATTTTATTTTGCTGTTAAAATGTGATATATATGTACACTGTATGTAGCTTAAATCTTTATGATCAATTAATCTAAAATAGAGTACGTAAGAAATTGTTTCAGAAGAAAAAATTCTGTACATTGAAATGTATAGTATTATATAAGAAGTCAATATTGTACAGGACGACAATTATGTAATTTTGCTTCAATCAAAGCTTTAATTAGTTCTTCCTTCACAAATATAAAAAATAAAAGTTTATAAAGTTTCCTTTTTTCTGTCATTGAAATAGTTAATTACAAAACTGCAAAAAAAATTTCCGACATCAAAGTTGCAGCTCGTATTGCTTAAACATGGAGTTTACACCAAAAATTGTAGACGCAAAATTCTATTTCTCCAAGTATTCATTCTTAATTAAGAATTATCACGATAATGAGATTTCTACCAAACTTAACCACATTTTTAACATATTGCATATAGTTAAATACATTCAAAAAGATACATCTACATGTATATTGATATATTGAATAGCGGTAGAAAATATATGCCTTAATAGGTGGGATGGCATTTATGTCTACAGAGGTCTTACTATGAGAAGTCTGCAAAACGATTCTCTTTGATGCTTCTAACAATATGGTGACCCACTCACGGCGTGTTCTTTATTCTAAGCTGTATCTATATGCATTCCAATCATTTTCTTTGAAGTGAAAGATTTCTTGTCAATTATTAAGATTTATTCATCTTTTGATGGACAACCAGAGAGAACATCATCTACAAAATGGGATTCTCCATGGCCACATCAACTAAAAAAAGCCTTCATCTGACGCTTTACGTGACTACTTCGTCAGCAACAGCTGTTAGCTATGTTCATTAACAAATAGTGATAGGAGATTATATTGTTGTTTAAGTCAGGGTATCTCTTAAAATGCAACAGATGAGTTTGTTGTGGAACAAGTGTCTATTGAAAGAATATAAAAATGTTGGCAATGGCCAAGTTCCACACTTACGTGTATAAGGTCATTAGTTACTCACGGCTCGATGTCTATGTGTTTAAAAACACGTACAAAACAGATCTGGCAAAATCATAATCAATAGAAAATAAATAATAATACTTTGGTACGATTCTCTTCTTAAAAAATATCAATACATTTGTTTTGAAATAAAATATAAATTTCATTTAATATGACCTCCATATTGAGGAAATATATGTTATAAAAATCCCCTATAAAAATCCCAACATTTCCTTACTCTCCATCATTGAACTTATGGGGACAAATTTTCGAGTGTGTCTAACGATAAGAATGAGTTCTTTGCATAAAAAGAAATAGTATGACAATTTGTTTATATCAGTATATTGTAGAAAATAAGAAATTTGGCAGAACTTTAGTAGACAGTAAATCCTCAAGTCAGAGCTCTGTCCTCAAGTATTACAAACAATTCTTTGGAACCACAGACACTCTTCAAACAAGACGATGATAATGAAAAAGATAAAAATAACGAACAATGATCGATCTCAAAAGAAAAAAAAATCTACAAACAATAGAAATCTGTGAACAGGGCGTAAAATTGTTTTTTTTTTTTTGTTTGTTTGTCTTTTTTTTTGTGCATTAATTGAAGTTAGGGTTCGCAGAATTTGAAATCATGAGACTGACTTTTCGAGGATTCGGGGATAATAACACCAATATTTCCTTTGCAGTTTCCTTTATGACATAAATCGAACTTTTTTTTTTAAAGTATCAAGCTTTTCTTTAAGATGTCTTCAATGGAATGAGCATGATAAAAGTTGAAACTCAATGGTTCTGGGACCTCGAACTCTGATTTTAACTCAAAGTTGGCTTGATTTAGAGTAAGAGGCTTTTTGAAGGTAACATATCAATTCTACATTCTTGTCACATTTTAATGTTTATGTGATAAACATGCAATTGCATACAGTGTTTCAAACATCAATGTATGACACACATTTTCTTGAAAAAGAGGAATACCAATGTAAATTTTGTTTGACTTCCGAATTTGGCCCCTTAGCCATGCATGTCATGATTAAATAATCTGAAATCTACTATAAATGGGAATGTTTAGTTCGATAACATAAAAGGTTCTGCTTGCAGTTCTTGGGAAGTTCTTAGCAGACCCCCCCCCCCCTTTACTTAACTTGACCCCAAATTTGGTTCCTCCTTTGTCCAAAATGTTATAATAAATCAACCTAATTTGAATTCACTTTCTATGAAAAGAAGCTTTCAATATAGCTGATTAGCTGAGTGTATCTGCATGGGAAAAGAAAAAAGAGAGAAAGAAAATGCTTGAGGGCATTCATAATTTGCCTTTCAGTAATTATGCGTTAAAAATATATTAATACTCAAGTTATGAAAACAGATTTTATAGAGCTTTTTGATTTGGGGGGGGGGGGGGGGATTTGCCACCTACGCAGCGAGCTTTTTCATACAAATGGCTTATTTACCAGATCAAACTAAAGAAATATAGAAGCAAAATGTGTTTATTGCTTCAGATAAACGGTAGTGTATTGAGTTACTGGTCCGTGTTTTATTAACAGAAAAAAATATTTATTCACATTTTTAAGTCCCACTACTATGGAAAAAAAATTGTTGTAAAGATATACATGTAGCATATTCTATATCTTTATATTTCACTGCAATTATACACTGAAGTTAACTGATATATGAAAAATGTTGGTATGATTGTTTGGATTTTTTCACTGTCATATTTTGGACCATGGGCATTTTCTTGGTCTATTCACTCATGTTCTTTGCTTGAATTTCGGACAATTCAACAGACCGACGACGGACTACCTTCGATCAAAAACGCTCTCTATTAGCAGAGCTTAATGTGATTATTCTAGTTTGTTGCCAAAGACAATATTCATATAACTCTCAACACAGAAAATAAGGAAATTTGGGAGTCAATTTAACAAAAACATGACGCCCGCGGTGAAAATAAATTTATCGAGTACGTTTTTATTATCAAATATCCTTCAAATACTTTTACTCTGTCAATCAGGATGTTGAATATAAAATAAGCACGACCCATTTTTATTAAAAAAAAAAAATATTCTTTTTCCGAATAATATAGAGTCGTTTTAAGATTCAGACTAGAGATATGACATGTGTGCATCAAAGAGAAAGGTTTTCTGCCCCCCAAAACGTCTCAGCCAATTTCCATTCATCAGACGGTTTGGTGTAATAGGTACATTTACATTTATTCTATGATAAGCTATGGGAAGAATTTACAGTGTTAGCACATCTGATTAAATTTTCTAAATAACATTGAATATTACAAATATGTTTGAAAAATAATCCGTTAAAATATTTCAGTACTTGTTGACTATAAAATGAACATATTCAAATATAGATGTGCGTTTATGCATAGATATGCTACACTAAGTTAGTTGTGGAGGAAGTGATATATATTAATTTTACAACAGCAGCATACGTATATATAGACGTATAGAGGATCAAGCTTATAGCGTTATAAAACAACGACTTAGATGTTACCACGCAAAATAGGATAGTATATCAAACAACTCTTCAAAAGGTTATTTAATTCAACACTTAACTGGGTCGATTTCGAAAGGAAGGAATTATAAGGAAAAAAATTCCTGAAAAAAGTTCAATGTCGAAAAAATAAATCCTCATGTTCACTTGGAAGGTCACGTGCAGGTGAACATCAGCATTTTTTTTGGACCTCGGCCAACTAGAGAGCTAAGAATTATTCAATCATACATAATAAAAACGATTATAAATGTGGTAGTGTAAAATGCATGGCATATCCTACTAACTGGGATAGGTCCATATCGACAAACATACAGAAAAACAACCGGAATAAAAAAAAAAAGGGGGGGGGGTTTAAAAAAGTTATACAGAACTTAAAGCACCTTCAAGTAGAAGTGAACCCCAATTTACAACATGAAAACAATCGATATATGTAATTGACAATCCCTATCTGGCTTATTGTGATTTTTAAAATTTGCGAAATTTCATGTTGTATTTGCCTTTAAAACAGCAAAATTCGACAGAAATGCTCCTTTTGCCTTCCTCCATATTGTTTCTCTACTTTTTCGATTTGTAAAGAATGATCGTTTTAGATAAATGTTTTCAAATGTTACTTTACATCTATATTCAACAGTGAAATACTAGATGTATATCTTCAAAAACTCTCATATAGAAACCTGTGCGTGTTCAGATAAAAAGTACCAGGACCCTCTTGTACATATCGTGTACCCAACAAAAATGGATCTAATCTTCGAAAATTAATGGGAATCTTTTGCGTAATTTGAGCAATAATCAAGGGGAAATTCAATTCTATGTTATAGATTTGTCTTCAATTACAGTTTGCTTCCAATATTTGACCTTGAAAGGGATCTTCAAAATGATTTGTGATTATATGTCAAGCATCAGCTTGATAGTCAACTCTGTTCAAGAACTCTGTGGTTTTGCCAACATTTAGTCTGCTTCTTTACGTGGGACCATCAAGAGATACATACTAAAGACTTTTTATAATTTGATTTTTTTATTGCACTCCATATACCTTCAACAGATAACAGTAAATTATTATATTTTAAAATAACCTTAAAAAGTTAATACATAATATCCTCATTCCAAATTTACAATGTTTACCCTACATGTAGTGTACTTGTATAAATACATGTAGTTTGTGCAACAGATAAAATTCCTAGAGGACTAATACCCCCTGCAGGACACTTTGAAATTCACTCTTTAGAACTCTGAAAGCTTGTATCAATGACCTTTGTTCTAGTAAAGACTCTCTGGTCATCATCATCCTTTGTGTGCTAAGCATGTATTAAATGCTGCTATGGTCTATTTAATAACATAAACTTTAGAACCCTGAATTATGACTTTGTCCTAATGACCTTGGTTCAGGATCATGACACGTTCTCTGATCATAACCAACCTTTGAGGTTTATAGTTAAAAAAACAAAGTATGGCAGACTTGAAGAAAGATAGACAACATATAGACAGATTAAGATTTCTGCCCCCCCCTTTTTTTTTAAACAAAATTTTATTATGTTTACTTTGCCCATGATACTGTAAAGTGTATATTGTAAGTATGTTTACTTTGCCCATGATATTGTAAAGTGTATATTGTAAGTATGTTTACTTTGTCCATGATACTGTAAAGTGTATATTGTAAGTATGTTTACTTTGCCCATGATACTGTAAAGTGTATATTGTAAGTATGTTCACTTTGCCCATGATATTGTAAAATGTATATCGTAAGTATGTTTACTTTGCCCATGATACTGTAAAGTGTATATTGTATATTTACTTTGCCCATGATACTGTAAAGTGTACATTATAAGTATGTTTATACTTTGCCCATGATACTTTACAGTGCACATTATACAAAATAGAGAGCATCATTTATAGAAGTTTTCACTACAGAGTATTCTACATTGAAATCTAACTTCAATCTTCAACATAGATCATCAATATTATTGCCTCCCCTTTTCTATTCCTATTTTCAATCATTAACTTGATTCAAATTTTAAAATTTAAATTCACTTCCTGTGTCAGTTTTGTGAAACAGTAAATGATATATTTCATTGAATGAGTTCAATAAAAAGATTACACAGCCTTCATTGCTTTCTTAGCATAACTTGTGTTTTCGTCGTCAGTTAACAGTAGATGAAGAGAGTCTATATTGAGTTATTGTTCCTCAGATAACAGTAGATGAACTGAGTCGGTATCGAGTTATTGTGCTCATTATGAATTCCTTGACTTCATTGATGTTCTCTCTTTGTAAAAATTCCATAAATGTGTCTCGGATCTCCTAAAAAAGAACATTCTAATCTAAAATGAATTAACAAGACTTTTTAAGATTTGTTCAAGAATTTTTGTTGTTCACATTTTTTGAGTGCATCTTCCATTCATCGAATTATCAAATCAAACATGAGTTCCTATTTTGCAAAGGACAACAACAACTTGGTAATAACATTAGGTGAAATGCAAACATTTTCAGAACTAATTATTACAAACACTTTGTCAAAATACCAAGTTGCAATCAACAAGGCCCATCAAAGACAAGACAATGAAACACAAAGCCCAACTTAATTTAGTCTTGAAGGAAATAGAGAATCATGTTGAGATCATGTTTTTACCAAATAATAATCTGCATTATATAACACTTCAGTTTGAACAACTAACATATTTGTTGTTCTTGGGAACAAAGACATTTCAATATATCTCTAACTTGTATCTTCATAAATAACTCTAAGAACATTTACTGCTGCCTGAATCCAAGTGCCATGGATTGAAAATTTAATTTACTCTTCATGAGTATGTCTGTGTATTGACAATTTGCTGGTTTTTTTCATTCTAAAAGTGTACGCATTAAAATATTCCCCTTACCCCCAGCATGGTCTTCAAGCCATCACTTGAGCAGAAATTAATTTAAATGTAAATCAAATGGAAATGCTAGCATTTATATCACTATCGAATACCAAGAATTTTGTGACAAGAATATCACTTTTCAATAAATGCCACAGTAAATTTAGGACTGTTTATTCATCCCGCCCACCTGTGTATCAGCTGAGGGTATGAACTGTACAACTTTACCTGGATTCCTCGTGGGTGTCCAATGTGTTCCTTTGGCTGTGTCTAAAAAATTAAATATTTTCTCAAGAAAACAACCCTTACAGATGTATTCAAATACAATATTCTAAAATTCCATGTCTATAAACTATTTCAAATGTTTTATGTTATTCTTATCAGATAACTAAATGAGAAGATTTTTAGCATTTTAAGCATCTTACCTCCTTCAGAAACAGCAGAGAGAATGGAAGAAATGCTTGATGAAGATATAAGGAGAGACCATCATTTGAGCCCACATCCAGAATACCCGACTCAAAGTGAAAGTAAGAGTCACTCCGTCCATGTGTGAATGCCTTCCTCCTCCACAGTGTGTCACAGAGGTCCATAATTAGAATGTTCAAACTGTGAACCGTCTCCTTCATCTGATGTCTGGCAGCCTCTTTCTCGTTACTTTTCATGTCATTTTTTAGTTTCTGGCAGTTAACCTTGTATCTATTGAATAGAAAGTTCAGTACATTACTGTAAACAGGGTTATGTCCGCCTCATGTTATTTTCACCCTTTCATACTTGCAAACAATTGAGCCCCGTTTACAATTTGCCTAGATACAGTTGTGTTAAAGAGATAATGTTGTTTTCTTTGAATTCGCCCTGTTTTAAATTCACCCATTTGCAATGAGGGTGAAAGGGGCAAAAAGAAAACTATTTCCCTCTATACTGTGTTTAAAAAAATCTTTTTACTTTGAGTTTAGATCTCTATATAGAATACAAACATAGGAAATATCCCTTTTCTCCTGCAGTATCTTCAAACTTTGGAAGACTGACTTATGGACAAAAAGATGCATGTAAATATCGTAGCTAAAGGGGTCAATGAGCTGCAACACACACAGGCTCTCTGCCAAATGAGTACATGTACGTACTGGTAAAAAAACACCTTCTAGTCAGTTGAAAGTAAGTCAAATGACTTGTATACATCTCAAAGGCCAAAGGTGTCAATTCAACATGACATTTAAAAAAAATTGAACTCTGACTTATCTGAATAAGAAATTTGAAGATGGTATTCATAAAAAATCTTCAACAACATAGCAAACACCCTTCAAGGTCAATAGTCAAGGTCAACCACACAGTGATATAAAAACATCCTATCCTTATTTCCCTTTGTGTGAGGTTAAAATATTAAGATAATCATAATACTTTACTTACATTGGCTAAACATAATTTACTGTGAAATTTCAATGTCAAAGGTCAAGGTTCAAGTCTTCTAAGATTGTGGTTCTGAAATAGCTTTTCCATTATTGCCTGTGTGATAGTTCTGTAAGTTCACACATATCAGAGCTGATTTTGTTAAAAAATGACTAGGCAAATATTAGCTAATAACAAATGAAAAGGCATTAGTATAATTTAATTATATGTGGAAAAGAAAATAACTGAAATGGGGGGGGGGGGTCTACAAGAGCTACACATCTAAATAAAATATGAAGACATATTAATATGGATGGACAACACTTTCTACCATAGGCTTCCATTGCCAAAATTGTTCCATAGTTTGTGACTTTATTTGCTTTACCTATTAACAATTCCACATAATCTTGCAGGACCCATTGCATTATCAGTCAGAAAGGCACTGATGATGTGTCGACTTGGCAAATATACACATGGTACTTCATATCGGGTATACAATGTGGATACCTGGGGAAAAAAGTTTCAAAACATTATTTCAGTATTGTACCAATTATTTTCATAATCCATATGAAAATAAAAGTCTCATGGGCCACATTGCTCACCTGAGTCACCCTGGTCTGCTGTTTTAAAATAAAAAAATTGAGATTTTACACCCTCTATATTCTGTTTAAAATTTTGACCTCATATTGTAGACCCAACCTTGCCCCAAGGGATCATGACTTAAACTACTCAGGGTAAAACATACAGTGAACAGATTTATAATCAATTTACGCCTATACCAAAGTGATCTTCATACCCTGTCTTTTAAAATGTAGTATAAACTTATTGTATATAACAAATTTCTTTTAAAACAAATCAAATGCTACGTCCCGGCGCTTTGATATAAGCATGTTTACTGTACCAGTATTGTAAAAAATGAATCTCCCAACTTTGCCCCAAGTGCCATGAGGATTAATAAATATGATTAATCAAGACTCTGCTATTCTCAGGAAAAACATTTCTAAGACATTTTCTTACATATTCCTATATGAGATTTGATCTCTATTGTGACCCCACCTTGCTCTTGGGGCCATTATTTGCACAAACTTGAATATGCACAATGTTGGGATACATGTATTTGTATATAAGAACATCTTTACTGATAGCTTGGACTTTCATGTGTTGCTGACAATGAGGTGACATAAGCCTAACCTTTTGATCTAGAAAACAAGATGTGTTTGTGAAACACTGATGCCCCCATATGGCAACTTATAGTGAAGGTTAAACTTTCTCAAATGCAAATCAAATATGTTGGTACCCAAAGTAAGGTCTTGTCTCGAGGAATATACCTGTGAAATATGAAAGCCCTCGCAGCAACCATTGAATAGATATGGAAAAGGTTAAAATTTATCAAAAGTAAGTCAAACATCAAGGTCAAGGTCAAATGTTCAAAATTAATGGTGCCCAAGAAAAGGTCAAGGTCAAAGGGTCAAAGTTGTTGGTATCCAAAGGAAGGGCCTGGCAAAAGAAATACACATGTGAAGTATGAAATCCTTAGCTCCAACCGTTCAAAAGTTATGGCCAAGGATAAAGTTTTTCAAAAGTAGGTCAAACTCCAAGGTCAAGGTCAAAAGGTCAAAGTGGTTGGTATCGAAAGGAAGGTCTTGTCACAAGGAATATACATGTGAAGTTTGAAAGCCCAAGCACCAACTGTTCAAAAGTTATGGCCAAGGTTAAAGTCTCATAAAATTTCGCAAAAGTGGGTCAAACTCCAAGGCCAAATATGATTGTACCCCCATACGGGGGCATCAGTGTTTCACAAACACATCTTGTTTTCATTTCTTTTTTTATTTCCCCATGAAAAATAATGCATGACCAAAACTTGATCCCAATTCTTCTAAGGATGCTTTGTGGCAAGTTTGGTTGACATTGGTTTAATGGTTCAGGAGAAAAAATTGAAAATTTAAAAGTTTACAATGGACAAGACAGACAGACAGTCAATGGAAACCCTTGATTAAAATACCTCACTTGAGCCCTTGGCCTAGATGAACCAAAAAACATAATAAACTATTTTGTATAAACCAATTACAAACAAACAAACAAATACAAAGTTCCAATTCCCGACACAGACGTACCATTTCACTGAAGGTGAGAGTGAAGTGGAGGAGGAGAATGTGGTTGTTTTCCAGGGTCAGGCCGGCACAGTTAAGTCTGTCCACAAACTGAATTAGTCCTTGAATTGTGGATAGTGGGTCAAATGTTCCTACGTCATCTTCAAAGATGGACACACTGTTCGGATAATTAGGGGAGAAAAGAAATTCAAAAAATCAATATTAATATGAATGTGATATACTACAACTTTCAATTCCAATAATTTTTTTTTTATTTTAAGGAGCTGTTGCATTTGATTAAAAAAATTGTGTTGCTTGCTTAATATAATAATTTACATAATTCTAGTCTCAGCATTTAATATTGACTCAAGTGTCATATAAAAATTTTCATTGATATTATCAGTATTAGAAATGTACATAAAAGAACCTCACTGCTCACCTTGGCTTTGATTGGGGATATTTCTGATTATATCTGTGTATTTCCACCACTACATAATTACGCAACAGCTGTGTCAAACACATGGTTATCTGGCACTGTATAAAAAATATTCAGACATGAAGTCTATGTAATTAATGTTTATAAATTCATGTTAATGATTAAGCCTGACGTTTGCTTAGACAGATTTGTCAATGGGTTTTTTAAAAATTCATATCATGCACATTTGAACATCCAACTCTTCGTAGTTAACCTAAATTAAGCGACATTTCACCAAAATCTTGTGTACTTGACCTTGAAATTGATTCTCACTCTGACACATAATTTTTTTCCAATTGTACCTTTCAACCCTAAACCATATAGATTTTTTGTGTACAGTAATACCAATTCAAAATCAAGACCCATTCATGTCTTATCATCATCTGCTTTGATTCTTGATAAGTCTGCTTATGTATTAGTTAACTGAAATATGAAGAAAAAAAAATACAAAACAAAACTTTAGATGAATGACATTTTGAAAGAATCTCACATGTAAGTTCACTGAAATTGGGCAAAACTGGACAGGAATGCAGGGCTCTACATTAACTTTTCTTTCTTACTATTATAAATCCACTCAGACAATGTGAAATTTACTTGTCTGAAAATATTTCAATATTAGAATACTTGAAAAATATTTTAATTAACAGAGTCTATAATATATTCACTGAAAAAAAGAGTCTATAAAATATTCACTAAATTTGTTTTATCATCTCTTAAGAGACTTTAGGAAATATTGCAAGTTATGAATCTAAATGGTACCATTATGTCTTAAGTATGTTATACTATAGTAAATAGGTCCCCGGTAGCAGTAAATGCTATTATAAAATATAATGTTTTAAGTAGCAGTAAATGATTTTATAAAATATAATAGAAAATAGCAGCAAATAGCAACAAAAAGAAACATGTCAAAACATTTATTTGCTTCTTTCTCTAATTCTTTTTTATTACCCTTGTCTTCTTATGTTTCAGCTTTCCTACCTGATACTGAAAACTCAAAATTTCGTTAGATCCATGCAAGGAATTGAAGTCTAAAATCAAAGGTACTGCTTCCATAGTGAACTTTGATCTCAATCGAGTTTCATGATAAGGATTGTTGTTATCATGGATCAAAGTTAAATATCTATGCTCTGAATGCTTTTGATTTTCAACTTTGAATAAAACTATGACAAGAGATTTTAGTTTTTCATTTTTAAGTTAAGAAAAAATACATTTCTTCGCAGAAAAAAACACTTGTATTAGAATTTATTTGCTTGCATGTTGAATGCATCTCCAGTGAAAAAAACACTGTCTATCCAACACTGCAATCTGTTTCATGAATTCTTATCTTTATTTTCAATTGCACAAAACCTGACCCCAAGTTTTGCATTATGTACATATAACCTGAGATATTTCTTCAAACCATGTTCACCCCAAGATTCTAGCCAAGTATCGTAGAACGCAAGCTTTCAATATGTACAAATCTTATGTTTTTAAGTATCCAGCTTAGTGTTGTTCTTTTGCATTATTGTAGTAACGAATGACAGAGGAAAGGCCAACCGGGATACGTAAATAGCTAACTGTCTTCAATAAAAGATATAATTGATGAAAATAAATAAACATACCTGTTTAACAAACTTTAACTTCACATGATTCACACACAATATTCACGGTATTTGCTTCCTTACCCACTTTTACATATCTTTTTACATGCCGTCTTAGCCAAATTCTCATTACACAACATGATCAATTCTCAAGTTACTTGTTGAAAGTTATGACGTCATTGGTCGGAGATTTTAATTCAAGTGACAGATACAGCAAACAAAATAAAAACATTTTATTTTTGTTAATATTTGCATGTTTCCATTCAATTTCAGGAATCAAATAATATCTCTAAATAACAATATTAAGAAAGCCTGTGTTCTAAAATCGACGTCATGTCGCCTACTATGACGTCATATTGTATCACTGCATGATTTAGTTCAAGTCAGATTATCTTAGTGCTTCCTTAACACACCTGCGTGCATTTTTTTCTATATAAAAAAAGCTCTCTGTGTATAGGCCAAATGCAAGTGTTTTACATTTTGCATATGGAAATTTGATTGAAAGAATTTGAAATAAAGAAATGTTTGAGAGTTAGGGCTATACAGCTTGTTACTAATATAGAAAGAACATTGCCGGTAACCCCCCCCCCCCCCTTATTTTTCTCAGTATTGGGATGTTTTTTCTTCACTGCTTTCGAATGAAGTGATCAAATTCACGTGTTATGCCTGAAATATAACTGAACATGAACATCCTAAAAATACATGAATTAATATATCATCACTCGCGGTGTTGTCGCTGCCTGTTAATTCTACTACATGAGAAATGTTTAATATACCGTTCATTCTGACTTTGTGGGCAGAATATGAATTTCACAATACTAGTGTAAATAAGTTGCTTGTCATCCTAACATGTTTCCGCAATAAGTGAAATGATGAATAAAATTACATTTTGCAACTATTTCACCTTTTAAATCTTGCATATTTCAAATGTAAAGATATTTATACTTGAATGTATACGTGATTACGTTCAACACATGACGCAACATTTTGGCAATATAAAAGTAAACTTTGAAATTATTTAGCAAAAACATAGGTAATCAGAGATTACAGAGCTCTTCTCAACGAATGTTGTCTTTAAGTAAGGCAAAGTCCCACAGTAAACTAATAATCTAGAAGTGTGCATGCCTAGATGCAATGTTTATGCAATTTTGGTCTGATATGGCTTGCTGCTTGGGAATGGACTTATTTAATAAAGTGCCCCGCCACAGCATGATACGCCCGTCAAATATTGTTCAATTGTCATAAACAGTTTAAAGTGCAAGAAAATCATGTCAACCTTGATACAAGGATTTCAAGGATTTTCCCATTCCTTATCATATTTGTTTATACATCTCCTGTGGTGTAGGCATTAATTATAACAAATATTATATTATAGATCCTCAACTGGTTTTGTTAGAGCTTGACAAATGCCCATCTGCAGCCCCCCCCCCCCCCCCAGCTTTCAGGTTTGTGAGATATGATGCTCTGAATTAGTTGATATTTTCAAAAAAATAAATAAAAATATCATATTACACAATATCAATTTAGTCTTAACAACTTAATATATTTCAAATTAATATTAAAAATAAAAGGCTGACCATTAAATGACATATGCTATAAGCTGACAAGCAGTTCTTCTGTCTAATTCCCAAAGGATACAGATAAGAGCTGCTTGATCAGAGATCCTCTAACAGAAATGATTGACACAGCTAGCCTCCCTACACTGAACTCATTAATTAATCTTTAACTGGATGCATGTCCACTCATTACTCCCAAGAGATGAATAGATCTATACATACTATCTGCTTTGTAGTGCAATAGAAATGCATATTTATGTCATCTGAAATTAAATTTGAAAACAAAGATTTTTTTTAATTTGTTACAAAGATTTATAAAAAGAAACAAAAAACTTGTGTAATCTTGATGCAACATTTTTAATAAGGTTCCTGTATTACTCTTAGATTTGTTGGGACTATCTACCATAATTAAAACATTTTTTTTAAATACTTGATTTTTTTTTAGATTTAATGTCAGACTGGTTTTAAGCTGCAATTCATACGAACAACGGCATGCTGATTCCAATATAACCCCCCCCTCTCAAGTATAATTAGTTTTAATTATATTATACAATATCAAATTAGTTTATTATACAATATCAAATTAATTTATCATACAATATCAAATAAGTTTTAATTACTTTTCACCAAATTCATTTTAAAAGTTGGCTAGCCAACTATTTAATCCAACACGGCTGATTCTTTTTACCCAGTTCCCAAGAGATATAGATAACACCTGCTTGATCAGAGATGCTCAACCAGTTAGCTCCTCACACTAAACTCATTAATTTCTCTCTAATTCGCCATGCAATTTTCTGTTATCAAATTCTCCTTGACCAGTGCTTGATAATTACACCCATGGGAGAGGTGGAATTTCTCTTGTAACATTACATTTGTTCTAGATTGCTGTAAAGTATATAATGAAAAAATAAGTATTTTCTTGATTTAACATTTTTTTAATAATGATACTGCAACACTCTTGCATTTTTGGGATTGTGTAATCTACTAGTAAAAAGACAGGTTTTTTTTTAAATTTCACTTAAATTAAAGGTCACAGTGACCTTGAAATAGGTTGCGACACACCTTCTACCTAAGATGCATAAATTGGCCAAGTTTGATGATTCTAAGTCCAATAGTTTTCTAGTTATGAGCCGGACAGGATTTTTCCATATTTGGCCATAGCATCTTGATTAAAGGTCAGAGCGACCTACTTTAAATGTGTGACACACCTTCTACCCAAGAAGTATCAGCTGACAAAGTTTGATAATCCTAGGCCTAATAGTATTTAAGTTATGAGCCGGACACGAAAAAGCTAACAGATGGACGGATGGACAGACGGACGGACGGACATGAACGCCATAACATAATACGTCCCGTCTAAAGACGGGCGTATAAAAACTTAAAACTAGTCACTCATCCAGAAAATGTAAGTCAAATCCAGCATCTGAAGCAAGTTTGAGAGTGTTCATCCCTTAATGCATCATCCATGCAAGTTTGGTGTAGATATAAGCCTTATAGTTACTTTTAAATGAGATCTGCTCTAAACACTTTAACCTGGTCACTCATCTGGAAAATATAGGTCAGATCCAGCATCCGAAGCAAGCCCAGTAGTGTGCATCCTTAGATTATCATCCATGCAAGTTTGGTCAATAAGGGGCCTATAGTTGCTTGGAAATGAGACCTGCTCCAAAAACTTTAACCTGCTCCAAATACATTAACTTGGTCATTCTTTAGCTGAAATTGCAGCATCTGAAACCTTGACTGGTACAACGAAACACACTAGAAGCATCCTCCATGCATCCCTGATTGATATAGGGCATGTCAGGTACTTGAATAGAAAACTGCTCCAAAAACTTTAACCTGGGACGCCGATGCCGAGGGTATTATATATGCTCCCCCAACTTCGTTGAAGTGAGCTAAAAACTAGCGAGAAGACATATTGATTTTTTATCTCAATAGTTTAAATTTTACCTGATCTGGATATTTTGAAATTCCTGACTAATTCATCTACGTCTTTAAAAAGTTGTCCAACCTTTTTCTAAAGAAACTCTTTATGGAAATTGGCTTAAAAACGTCATTTTTTTAAAAATATATTTCAATAGTAAAGCGTAAAAATAGTACTAAAAACTACACCTTGTTTACAGTAATACAGCATTAAATCTATGTAGACAAATTTAAAAATTACAGATAAAATGCTATAAATTCTAAGAAACATTATATCAAATTTTCAGGATATGTTTTCCTGTAAGAATTTTTAAGCAGTAAACCCACGATCTACCTTAAGGAAGGTGTTGAACTGCCACAGTCACTGATTAAAAATAAATGGAGTTCAAAAACAAAATCTCAGTTTTTCTTCTGGTAAATTTTCAACTTGTCAGGTAATTTTACTACATGTATTAACATTCTCTCTCATCTACAGGATATTATGTCAAGTGATTTGTTATGACTTTTTGCCAACTCTGTAAATACATGTATGTTTTATAACCACAATATGGAGAAACCTCGGCCGTTTAAGTCAGTGTCAGATTGGTTTACTCACTCTTCAACACTTTTCATGAAGGGAAGAAAATAGCTTTTTTCCCCCAAATTTGCAATTTTCAGTGTGAAAATAGCACCTGTGAACATATCACTTTATTTTCACCATAAAATCCCATTTTTCCAGTTTTGAAAATGAAATAAATTTATTTTCAACTTGAGCAATATAATTTTCCTCTAAAAGTACATGTAAAGGACTTGATAATGTGGACATTATACATCTGTATTTGAATCTTTCAAAAATTGTCTTTTACTGGACCCAAAGTCACTGGATAAATTTCAGAAAAGGTCATCCAAATTAGGTCTAAAGGTATAAAATCTACCAATTTCAAGGTCAAAGCAAGTCAAAGTAGACACTAAATTCAGTATAGATCTACCCTCCAAGTTTCATTCAAGAATTTTAAAGACAAGGGCCAACTTCTCATTCATGGTCAACTCAAGGACCAACCTAAGGGGCAACTGGGGCGAAATAGTCGCTTTTGAGCTCCAAACTTCGCCGTAATTTATTACGAAAGAGAAGTTTAAGTCGCCTTAACATTTGCAACCCCTTTATTGAAAATCATAAAAAAATCTATTAAGAAACCGTTACTATTTTATAAATTTAGTTTTATTACAGCTGAAATAAATGAAACAATAGGGCACTTGCACCTGTTTTGCTACTAATGACCAACGCATCGAATACTCTATCGGAACTCCTCTAGATTTTACGCTTCAGTGTATGAAAAGTCCATTGTTACAAGTTATACACTAAAATACGCAAAACAGCTGGACAGCTATCGATGTCATGCCAAAGATGTTGGAGATGATTTTAGATCTTTTTATTGTCAAATAATAAAAACATGCTGTGAATACAGACATATTTTTACTGTTATATTGTGGAGTTATTAACTGTCTAAGAAACTACACATGTCTGATAAACATAAGTAGTTCAAACGGCATGCAGTAGTGCAAAACTTTTTTAGAAAAAGAATTTTATATTGAAAACGAATTTTGAAGAGAAAATAACAAAATTATGACTATGCCAAGAGCCTGAAAATCAAACCCTGAGAGGAGAGAAAAATGTGTGAATCATTTAAAAGTTAATTGTGCATACTATGCAAGAATTGAATAAAAGTTTGATAAACAAGTTTATCTATTAGAAACTTTTACATTGTCATTGTTTTATATATTTTGCTAGATATTTAGATACCTTGTAATTGGAAAAATATAATTCTAAAAAAAAAAAATCTTTTTTCTCTTTTTTAATTATTTTTACTAGGATGTTTAAATAATACAGAAGAAATCATTGAAATGTATTTAAGTAATAAACGATGAAATGTTTTTATTTAAAAAGTTTAATAATGATCAATGTGCGTCATGCGCAATGAGAAGTCTCCCTAGAATTCAAAACTTCTCCCTATATTTCTCTAAGGGAGAAGTGAAGTCTCCCTAAATTTTGGGTCTAGGCTGGTCCCTGTCAACTCAGTCTTGTATCCTGAATTTTGTAATGATGAAGTAATCATTAGAACAGGTTACCCTTCAGGAGCTGAACAAAATAATTTATAAAATTAACAACGAGCAGAGGGCTCATAAACCATTAAAAAACCAATGTTGTTGATTTCTTTCAATACTGTTAGTCTATAGTGCTTTATGATACTAATAATGCAAATAACATTGATACTAATAATGATAATAACATACCTTAATAAATACTGAAGTTCTAATATACAGTTTCCTCAATGGTTCCAAAACATATTCATTTAATACTGTAAGGAAAAGCAAAAACAGATATATTAAAGATCATACTTTTATATTTTTTTGGGAACAAATTTATTTTAGTTCCTTGCATAGATGTACATGTACATGTCTTTTTTACTAGATTGTTCAAACTGTGTGTGTAACAAAATTTATTGCAAAAGAAATTTTATAAAAAAAACAAAAAACACACAGAAAAAAAGAATTACATGAGAAGGGGTAAAGTCTGCATCTGGTGATTAGCCTGAACACCTGTTGTCTAAAATCCATTCCATTCCAAACCTGAAGATACCGGAATAAAATCTGATCCACAGCTGGAATACCTTCCTGTAAAACAAATACTGTGCACATGTCAGTTTCTAGTACCTTTAACTAAATGTTCAGGTCAGAATGGGCTATTATCTGTCAAATTTTAAAGTTTTATCTTAATATGTTCTCAGTAACATCTTTATTTTCAAAATACACAAGGCAGACAAATGGACAACCTGAATAAACTCTGTGAACTGTATAAGTTTCTCTAGTATGGACTCGATTCTTGGGAAACAAGAGGAGGTAACTGTGCTATCCAGTAGTTCTACAAAGAAAATTAATTCCAACAAATCTTACTCAAAAATGATTACTGTATGTGGCCTTACTTTAGTGGGATTCATATATTTGATTCAATTTTAGGTGCACAGATTCATGTTGAATACACCACCAAAATAGGATTTTATATATTACTCAGAATTACACAGATGCTATAGTTTCACCATTCTTTGCTGAACCCTAAATTTTTTATGTGGATGATACAGAGACCGTTAAATTAGGAGATCAGCAACCTACAAATTTTTCTAATGATAGAATAGGATGAAGTAGCTGTACACGAATTCTTATATTAATGATATTGCATTTTTTTGCCAAAAACCACAAAATTAAAAAAACTTGGTAGTCCTGGACCTATGTTTCCTCTATATTTTAAACAGGCTATAATAGTTACATGGACAGAAATTAATGCTGATATCTCCAAACCAGAAGTCTCTGACAAGACTGTAGCTCTACTGGTTTGTACTTTCAACAAAGGAACTTGAAACTATGCAAAAGCAATTAATTAGAATAATGATCCTTGGCCTAGTCTTGAAATCAAAAACCAGTACAAAAAATTATGTGTCATAGTGTAGTCTACTTGTGTGCCAAGTAATACTGAAATCAGACCAAAACTGTAGGAAGAGTTGCATTTCAGAAGAAATTCATAGAAATTTCTATTTTTTGTAACCATGACGCCGTTCATTGAAATCAAAATTCAATATACAGAATTATGTATCTTAGCGTAGTCTACTTGTGTGCCAAGTTATATTGAAATTTGAGCAAAACTGTAGGAGGAGTAGTATTTTGAATAATTGTTTACAGACAAACAGACAGACAGATGGACGACGGACACGGTACTATCGCATAAGCTCTTCTGGTCTCTGACCAGTAGAGCTAAATACCTATTACAATTTGACCCTTACTTTACCACTTTAATACTCTCTCAATCAATCTTAAATGATATCCCAGATATTCCGAAACTACGGGAAAAATCTGTGCTTATTTTTGACAGTGTTCCTTAAAGCATGAGATTAATCTGCACATTTGCCAGAAGAGTCTAATAACTTTTACACATATAATGCGTACCATCACAGAGGGTGTCCTGGAGCCAGTAAGAAAAGCGACAGGTCATAAGGGGGTCGGCACTGTACGACATAAAACACTGAAGCAATGGACTCCTCAATGCCGCACCAATCTGGCTTGGTAACTGATAATTACAACAGTAATTTCTGATTGAATTTTGACTAGGCTAATTTTTATTTTACCAATGAACATATGTTAAGTAGTACAGGCTTTGAACAGTGTTTGGATATTCTGATTGCATGAAAATTGAGAAAGTCCATTTTTGATTATGAGTCTATGACCTATTTTGAGCAAAATTTTGTACACCCAGATATAAGTGCACATTTATTCAAAAATATCTTCTATCTCTAAATGTTTTATCATCTCTTATACCTCTACTTTATCTGGGTTCCTCAGTAATGTCTCTATGTCTGGTATCTGTACGAATGGAACTGGTTTCTCCTCTAGCATGGCTATCAGTCGACTGGACATCTTCACCGTCAGATTAGAGCTGCTGGAATGGACCACTGGAATGGGGTCAACCTTCCTCCTCTTGGCAGGCTATTAATAGAAGTCAAAATTATAGTAAATAGTCTGTTCAAATTTATGGGGGAAGGGGTGGGAGGTACATTTATGTTCTATTTACTCAATTTAGATGCAAGTTTTTATACATTTGAGATACTAACTATTCAGCCTTGAATATGCGTTAAATCAGTGATAAATACAAAATCGATATTGTAATTCCAAGAGCCTTAACTCTTATAAATCTGTGCCCTGCAAAGTCAATTTCATTGATTGATTAAGCTGATATAATCTGAGACACTGACCGGAATTCCCTGTAGCATTGTGGTCTCTGCGGCTCTAAGTTTCTCGGATAACTCCAGTGACAGCTTCATGTGAGACGTCTCTACATTCTGGTTTCCCTCCTGAACTTCTCTTATAATGGAGCACCACTGTCTGTCTCTGGTGGGGAAAAAGTGCTGTAATAAAACAAGACAATTAACTTCTCTTATAATGGAGCACCACTGCCTGTCTCTGGTGGGGAAAAAGTGCTGTAATAAAACAAGACAATTAACTTCTCTTATAATGGAGCACCACTGTCTGTCTCTGGTGGGGAAAAAGTGCTGTAATAAAACAGGACTAGAGTGACCTCCCCTAACCCCTGTATCATTTCACTCTTCTGATTCAATAAAAGTGGTATCAAAAAATTATATTCCATATCACATGATCTAAAACAATCCAATGAAAGCTTTATACTTACAACAGCCTAACATATTTCAGTTTCCTTACAAAGAGAAACATATAGTTTCACCTTTAGACCAAACAGAAATTAAAAAGTCATTCTTAAAACAAAATCATTTTTTTTATCCACTACTAGAAAATTCATGTAGCAAGTCCTTTACTGGAATTTATGATTTCATTTAATCTACCTTTTTGGTACTTGGAATGACAATGGACACCAGGTTGGGAAAGTACAATTTGTAAATTGACAACAGTCCAATAAGGTATGGCTGGGGACCCTGTCAAATTAGGAAAACAAAAAGACATTGAAAATATACAATAACTAATTAGGAGCCAAATAAATCTGAATTCAGAGATATGCATTTTTTGTTTAACTGAATTTTAAGGAATCTGCATACTTTTTTATTCATTTACTAATCAAAATTGTAATTAACATAGCAATTTTTAAATTCCCTATATACGATACAAATAAAAACAAGAAGGTTTGATACCAGTTTAGTTTGTAAATCTAGAAGCTTTCTAACTCGGAACAGTCTCACATCTTCCTTTCTTGTTAACAGGTACAGTAGATAACAGATATAAGGCGTCTAAAACAAAAACATCAAACTTGTATGTGATGTTGACTTCAAAAGTGAATTAAGTAAATCAACTTCCATAATCAATAAAATTTAGTGAAAAATCTAACATGTAAAAGAATTGTTAATCTATATTTCTTATTCAAGAAGATGGTGAAAATTACATTGACAATGGATTGAAAAATGCCCATACATTTAATTCTTATTTGTGTTTAATAGAAGCATGCTTACCAGGATGGAGTTCTCAATAAAACAGAAAAGCAGGTATCCTAGTTTCTGGATTGTTTCCTTTTTATCGATGTAGTCATATACAGCAATCAGTAACCTCAAAAGCATAGCCTGAAATAGACATAATAATTTGGTCAAAAAATATTCTGCTGATTTATACATTACAGCAAATAGCAGTCTCAGAAGCATGGCTTGAAATTGATGTAATTATCTAGGTCAACAAAAAATTCTGATGATGTTTATATAACATTGCAACTGACAGCCTCAGAAGCATGGGCCTGAAATAGCAGTTGGAATATATTTCAACATCAGTAAATTCTGATCATGTTGAAATCAGTATATTAATAGACAAGACACAAATTCTCATACCATTGATTTAAAAAAAATGCATTGAATTCTTATTTCATGTCAATTTTTTTACAAAAACATGGATAAACCTGCCTGGATTTTGCTTGATGGGATGTTGGTACAGATGTAGGATATAGCAACCATTACAGCCCTGTCTGGAAACTCCTTGGTTGGAATCAGGCATCTTATTAGCTTACAACTGATATCATCACCTGAAATAACAACAATGCTATCAGCTTACAACTGATATCATCACCTGAAATAACAACAATGCTATCAGCTAACAACTGATATTATCACCTGAAATAACAACAATCTTATCAGCTTACAACTGATATCAACAATCTTATCAGATTACAGCTTATATCATCTCCTGGAATAACAACAATCTAATCAGCTTACAACTTATATTATCATCTGGAATCACAACACTCTTTTCAGCTTACAACTTATCACTTGAAATAACAACAATCTTATCAGCTTACAACTGATATCATCACCTGAAATAACAACAATCTTATCAGCTTACAACTGATATCATCACCTGAAATAACAACAATCTTATCAGCTTACAACTGATATCATCACCTGTTATAACAACAATCTTATCAGCTTACAGCTTATATCATCACCTGAAATATCGACAATCTTATCAGTTTACAACTGATATCAACAATCTTATCAGCTTACAACTGATATCATCATCTGACATAACAACAATGCTATCAGCTTATAACTGATATCATCACCTGAAATAACAACAATGCTATCAGCTAACAACTGATATCATCACCTGAAATAACAACAATCTTATCAGCTTACAACTTATATCATCAGCTGAAATATCAGCTTACGACTTACATCATCACCTGGAATGACAACAAGCATGATTTGAAATTATAAGTGATCTGTGATGTCTGAAAATGACAGCAGAAAGCTTTGTACCTATGTATTATATAACAAGTGAAGTAAATATGACTAAAATACCGCATAAAAATGTGCAATTTTCTCTAGATGCATTTAGGGGCCCGTTTTACAAAAGAACTTACAACCAAGACCAAAAACTTTAGTTGATTGTAAAATTTTGCAAAATTAAGGATTCTGTTTAAAATTTCTAGCATAAAAATATCTTTCTACATTCCTTTTAAAAAGATTAAAACCATTAATTTTCAATTTAATGTAAATTAAAAAGTTATAAGCAGAATAAAATAAGCAGAATAAAATTTTGGTTTTAGTCGTAAGTTCTTTTGTAAAATGGGCCCCTCTGGATATTAGGGGGGAAACAGTTCACTGTGGCATTTTTTCTCAGTTTGATACAAAGTGCAAAATCTCCATTTTCGGTTCAGTTCTCTATTGCGGTCAGGATCATTATTCAGTCAGGTCTGGCATAGGTAAAACTTGCTACTCATCATAATTAAATCTTAAAAATGTTAATTTTTGAGGACTGACAGTTTGTAAAATAATCTTTTACAGTCAATTCATTCTAATCAATTTCTTCTTGTCAATTTGCACATAGTTTAAGTGACTGGATTTAGTAAAACATAAATAACGTTGAATTTGCTTCCTTCTATCAAAATGTTTTGTATCGAAAATAACCGTACTGAAATATAAAATTATAAACTATGTATTGTATCGTGAAGGAGGTGAATCAATTCACTCCTGCTAGATATCTTATAGTCTTTTATGCTAAAATATTTTGTTGATCAATTTTATTACATAAAAAGGAGCTTTATAAGAATTCATTTTAACACACCAGAATGTAATTACATGTATGAAGTTAAAATATATAAGCTTTTGGCAAATTTTAATCAATTGTCAATGAATATATACTTGTCAAGTACAGAGTTAAACTACATATTTGTAATTTTCCAGTTATTTTGTACTTCTACATTTATATCATTTATATTTTTACCATGTCGACCGCTGGCTGCAACTTCACAAAGTGCATTAATATCGTCAGCAGAAAGGCCTCGACTTTTTGAAACCCTCTCCAATATTTCCAGGGCTTCAGACAATTGTACATTTCCCCTCTTCTTTATTCTCTCTTCTGTTGAAAATAAAACATATTTATATTTACCAAATTGGAGATTGTCCATACAAGTATGGAAAATCTTGTGGGTTACAAATTCTAAACTATCAATTCCAACCACTGCAAGCACACTGTGAATTGGACATTCAGTTTACTATTCATCAGACAAATCTAATGCAGTCTGCAATTTGCTAATTGTGATATGTACAGTACTCTGAATTTTGAAATAATAATAGATGTACATGTAGAGATTTCCCTTCTATCTGTCTCCTAAGAGTCTCTCATTATTATAACTAGAGTGTTCAAAGGAACATGTGTCGCCTGCTTTATAGTACCATTAAAGATAAAATAAATCTAAAGACGATCATCTATTTATTTGCTACTAGCATTATAGTTCAGGCATCTCCTCTGCAAAGAAGGCCAAAAAAATAAAGTGCCCCGCCACAGCATGATACACCCATCAAATATTGTTCAAAAATCATGTCAACCTTGATACAAAGATTTCAATGATTTTTCCATTCCTTATAATGTTTGATGTACATACATCTCCTGTGGTGTAGGTATTAATTATAACAAATAATTCCTCAAATGGTTGTGTTAGAGCTTAGCAAATGCCCATCTGCAGCTTTGTTTATTATCTTTATTAATCATGTTAATACATTTGACTTTTTATTTGTATTCTCCAAAAGTAGGACTGTCACGGTTCCCCGAAATAACCGAAAACCGCAGTCCAAGTTGTTCAGTTTGGTTTCGGTTCCATTTTTCCGGATTTCGGTTCGGGTATGACTTATGTATTAGAAGCTGTTTAATAAAAAAATTGGTGTTGAAATCAAAAGAATGATGACGATAATAGTGATAAACAAACATCACAACTGAAATCTACTTCATTTATGACAAAACACTTGTCACAAAAAGATGGGATTATTATCAAAAATGAGCAAGAGTGGTTATGTTGTCGCTAATAGTCAGCCTAGTCTTAAACACCGATGTCAAGACTTTAACATGATTTAGACTTGTTTTGAAGGTGAATTTAATGTACTGGGGTAACAAATAAAGATTTTTTCAAGTTTAATTCATGAAATTAAGGTTTAAAATAGATGTAAATAACCAAACCGAAAAACCCGAAATCGAACCGAAAATTTACAGAATCGACCTGACCCAAAAAATTTTGGAACCATGACAGCCCTATCGGAGAATCCAAAAGAGATTTCAGTCTGTCTTTACTGCAATTGTCAACTTTCAATGATCTTATTTAATACTGATCCCGATCTTTTTCCATAATATTTTAAATTTCAGGTTGCTTGACAACTGTATATGCATCCAGTTTCGAAGTGCAGTGTCATGATCTCATAAACATGATATAAATGCTTACTATCAAAACCCTGCCTCTCAAAATTCAGAAGACACAAGTTAATTGTTTGCAATATTTTTGCAAAGTAGGTCAAGGTTAAATGGACTGTAAAGCTGAAATTCTTCATAATGTTTTATGATAAACAGTGCACATGCTAAATAGCATAGACTTACCTCTTAAATATCAATATTATGCTGTATATCAGCACAATGAACTACTTTGAAAAGTAGGTCAAAGGTCAACTTCAAGGATCAGGAGAGAGTAACCATGACATTTTACAAAAGCCAAAGTGTTAAACAATAAATATGCAAAATATCAAATGCTCTTATAGTTCTCAAGATATAGGGTGTGAAAGACAGAGAGACAGATAGATGATAGGTCAGACAGACGCGGGGTAAAGTGATCCCTAAGTGTACCTCTGCAGGTGACACAAAAATTGTGCATTTACTGTTTTTGAAATGTACATTTATAATTCAGTATTCATACTATTATATCAGCTTTCCTTCAAATATACAACTCTTCCTTCCACTTTGGAAGGTCTTGTTTGTTAAGCAGAATCTCACAATTCTTCAAGAATATATAAATGTTGTAGATTTATAACCATTCGCCCACTTGCCAATGCAAGTAAAATTTGCTGTGGTCGAATAGATATTAAAAACTTAGTCACTCAATGGTCAACAAAATTTTCCATTACAGAATCATTTTTCAGTTGTATTTTAGGGTATTTAAGGCAACTATGAGTACCAAATTCAGTTATTTTATAGCCTACTAAAATTTCTTGAATTTGGAGGGGGGGAGGGGGGTTAATGACCATTTTGAAAATTAACACATTCAATTTGGAAAATAAAGGTACTTTTTTTGAATTGGGAATGGGGTCTTTGAATGGCCCCAATTCTAGACAGTTGAGAGCCCTGATTACATGGAAATTAGTGCCAATAAAAAGTTCATTTAATCTTTCTGCAACAAATCTATCAAATTTCAAAGGTTGTGCATCTCAAATTACAATGTCACAGCTGGTCTCGCTGAATTCTCACTTTCCCGGGGCCTTCATTTTCACTAATTGGGAATATTAAGCAGCTTTTCTTCATTATTTCATTCAACGTTGAAGAAGTACGTATTTAAATATGTAGCCCCAAAACTTGTAGATCTTTGATTGCAATTGCTCTGAAAGAGACATACCTTAGAAAGTAATTTTTTATGCATTATTTTCAAAACAGTTCAAAGTTGAAAACTATCACTGCACCAATGTGCAATTTTTTTTTTAAAGCTGAAAAAAGGGTACTACTAAACAGAGAACCCTAGAGAACTCTAAAGAACCCTTGAGAACCCTAAGGAGTTTTAATTATTTGTTGTTTGCAAATGAAATATTTATGTTTTAAATAACCAATGTATCACACAAAAACAAAATAAAATTAAAAAAAAAAGAATATTGTGCCAGGTTTTATGTTTAATTTCAATGGAATACTAATCTCTGAAGACTTTATCATACTTTGTGTTATTTTAATTATTTATCCAGAGTTTCCGAAAACCATCGGTCCTACCGGCAAAACCAATATAAAATCGAAATGTCCGATGCAATTCGCTATATTACCGGTCCGCGTGACCAATTGTTGTCTTGAGACACAGTTAGATTATTCCAATTAATTGTACTCTGATCTATTGTGATGTCTACAAGGGTGTGCAATTAGCATCGCTCGACACCAAGGGCTACCATTTTTTGGGGTTGGGCTAGTAGTTTTCTGCACGGAGATAGCCCCTTGGGCTAGTAAAAGTTAAAACTACCAATGTGATACTTGAAAAGCACTACTGGTATTTTCAGATATCTCGTTAAATTATTTACGATCACTCAATCAATTGAAAGACGGGTGTTATGTGATTTACATAAAATATAGTTCCAATGTATTTAATGATAAAAGATGAAAAAAAAAGAAGATTTTCTTTTCAGTTTAGATGAGCTGCAATGCCCATAAAAAAGGAAGATATTTTATTTAAATTCATTTTTATTTTCTATCATAATTATTAATTTATACACGATTCAATTTTACAAGTAAGAATTAACTTTTAATTTTAAAAAGGATGCCTTAAAACCCTGACTTTTTCAACAATTAACTATTTTTTTTTCATATTAGTTGTTACCCCCCCCCCCCCCCCCCCCCCACACACACATTTTGGCTAGCAACTTTTTACTTGGGGCTAGTGACTTTATTGCTGCCACTAGCCTGTGGGCTAGTGCTTGAACTTTTTAATTGCAAACCCGTGGTCTCATAATCGGTGTTGTAATGATCCCCAGAAAGATTTACACTCTCAATTTCAGTACTATAAACCAATGCCATTTTCTTTTTAATTACATCATGAAAATATACTAAAATAGCAAGAGCCACTTAGGGCCTTTTATGGCCCTGAGAATTTCTGAAAAATCAAAACTGCTCTGTTTTGGTTGAAAATGCAGTATTCATAACTTGGACCCTTGGTGACCGTGTATCTATTGAAGATGACATAATTTTCTCTCTAGTCAATGCATTATGACGTTATAGAATGTGTCATTTTTCCCATATCCTGTAAATTCCCTTAAAAATGGCCAAAAGTTGAGGTATTTTTTCAATATTTCATATAGAGCACAAGCTCTGATCCAAAATATGCAATTACATAACGAAAGATCTATTTCTGAAGATCACAAAACGTTTTACTGGTAATTTTTGGATCGTGGGCTGTGCTCATACTTTAATTCTTTGCTGAAGGTAGTCAAATATGCATGTTTTCTGCAAAATTCAAGAACATTCCATTTTCTCAAAGATTGTTTTCCAATACCTGGATTCCCAAAAAGAAATCTTGTTATAGGAAATGAAAGCACTAAGTCTCTACTTTATTTTGATATATGAAATGGGACAGAGGGTGATAGTCAATTAATTGATATAAGGACAGAGCCATTTTATGCATAAAGTGAACCTAGCTCTTTATTCGGACTGATAGAATTTGCTTTGGACTGGTAGAACATATAGTCATCAGTCCGAATGACTGAGAGAAATATTTTGTTTTCGGAAACTCTCTTATCAAATAAGTTTTACACCAGAGTTAACGGCTAAGAGTTCTATAAAACTTTGAAAATAAAATTAAATACAAAATAACGTGAAAAAGAATTGTAAAATTATGTGGTAAAATTATTATTTCAATAAACAACCTATTTGAAATTCAGTCGGGATAGGGATGACATAAAATATTACATTAATCTATTTTGTTTGGTTTTCAACTTTTTCCGAAAGAAAACATCCATGAAATAATCTTGTTATTGATTTTATAGATAGAATATGATTTATAAAGTAAAAATAAACTCAATTATGTATAAAATTTATTTGAATTGACCAAATAAACCTTGAGTTCTCTAAATTACTTAGAAGGATTTGGTAAATTAAGTACATATTTTAAGTATAAAAGGTCATTCAATTTTGAAAAATACTTGAATATGAAAAACATGGACAATCGGGTAATTCTCACAAAATTCAGAATTATAGTAATCATTGCTTAAGGGTAGAGACGAGTAGATATGAAAGGATACTTAATAAATGTGGTAAAAATGATATTCTTCCCAGGAGTGAAAGAGTCTGTTGTTACTAGTGTTGTCAAATCGGTTGAAAATCATAATCGATTAATCGGCAGCATCGGTTGACTCTAATCAACTGATCATCGGTCAATAATCGAATCGGTAACCATTGTATAAAATAGGCACTAAATTTTATATAAAATAAAGTTTAATTTTATAATAATGTAAGTATTGTGTATTATACAGATTAAAATTTGCAGTTTGATTAACAATTTCAGTAATACAAATTTTTGCATGATTAGGATTTACTTGACCTGGGTAAAAAATTAAGTATTAATTGACAGAGTTTTAATCAATATTTTATGGTTACCTAAAATATGGAATTAAATTTATTAACTGTTATTAGACATTTAAATTTGCAAATCCATGTGATTTCATACGACATGAAAGGTGATTTTTCCCCAAACACTGATAACCAATATATTTTATTTATACATGCAGTTTTTAGTTTCTTCAGTTTAGATATACAAATTCCATTATTATCTTACAATCAATTTTTACAAATTCAAACACATAGTTGTCATTGTCTTATCTGTAAGGAAACCTACTTTCATTTTAAACCCTTTTTTAGTATGTAAAAATGGTAAATGACAACACTTGGAAGATATATATGGAAGAGATATATTTATAACAAGAACTTTTTCTTGAAATAAAAGTGAGAAAACAATAAAAAGATAAGTGCTGTAATATACCGATTATAATCGATTGTTCAATACTCCAATCGATTGTCTAAAATCGACAGCCTTTCCGATCGATTATAAATCGATCATCGTGACAACACTAGTTGTTACTGTACTTCAAGTCCAACTGAGGATGAAATACATTTTTGCTAGAATGTTCATTGCATAATGATTCTAGAGGAGAGTTTTTAAACAAAATCTGTAAAACTTTTCCAAACTTAAAACTGCTTAATAATGTGGACCTGTTTACATGGATTATGTTAAATGAAGATTCTGAGTTTGTTGTTTAATTATGCCAACATTTAAATGAAAATTTTAATATGAGAAAACAACATAGTACAATATAGGCATATTACAGTCATTATACATATACTATTTGTATACATTTTATGCATCCTAAAAGTTGACAGCTAACTCTCTGTTCAATATACAATTGTTTGTGTTCTGTTTATTGTTATTTATGACTATGATTTCGGACATTGTTCATCTTTATGCTCGACTGTGGGCCCAAATTGGTTGAATAAATATTCTAAAATATTCCAAAGTTCTCTCGAGTTCTCTAGGGCTGTAGGGTTCTCTGATTAGTAGGACCGCTGAAAAAAGCTAATTTAAGAAAAAAAGCATGATTTGACAACAAAAAATGTACTTCGAAGAACTAAATAAAGCTATGAAGGTAATTCAAGCTACGTAACCAATTGTAGATAGTAATTGAATTGGTCATAACAGAACGTGAAATGGACTTGTCCAGGGGGGTCCACGGGATCGGGGAGTTCAAAATCGTAAATGATTGAAATTTGATACATAAAGCTTCTATAAAGGCATTATTACCCTTAACAAAATATTCTACTGCATCTGTAATTCCTTTATCTTTGTCCAGTGTAGGCATCTTGTATTTTCTTGTACTGTGAAGTCTCCGGGTTCCACTCTCTTCATTAGTATATTTACGATGATTCCGAATCGGCCGCCAAAAGTAGAGTAAATAGAATATTTATAGCATTCCGAACCCGACTCAAACTTTTTACAACTGTGTAGCGATCATGCATGAGCGGATCAAAAGATTTGATTTTAATGAGATTAGACCACATTCTAAATGACCATTTTGACTATTTAATTTATTTTTTTTTATTTTTTGGGTATATGAATACTTTCAATAGATTTTGAATTACCCATGCGCGGATCTAGAGGGGGGGGGGGTGTCTGGACCCCCCCCCCCCGGAATTTGCAGAGTTATTAAAAGTATACTGAAGCAAATAAAAAATGACTTTGGAACACCCCCCCCCCCCCTTAGAAAACGTGGATTCCACCATCACCACCGCGAAATATGTGTTTTTCACGTTTTGGGAATGGAATTTCTATTTTATTTTATTTTTTATTTATTTAATTATTATTATTTTTTTTTTTGCTTGTCAAGAAATTTCCTGGGTTTAATACGTTTGGGAAGGGAAGTTTTTTTTCTTTGCTTGTCAAGAAATTTTTGGGTTAGAATTTTTTTTTTGACTGGGATGGAACCCCCCCCCCCCCCCCCCCGCCCCCCCCCCCCCGGTGGAAAAAAATTCCTGGATCCGCGCCTGATTACTTATAAAAAGTGTATACCTATATGGGCACTTTACGTATTTTTTTATCCACTGAAAATATGATGAAAATTGATAGGATTGCCAATTCCTGTGTATACATTTTCTATATATTTTGAAGGAAAATCTCAGCTTGAAACTTCTCTTACACTGCCACTAGTTTTTACAGAAAGTGCTACGACAAAGACAAATCTCTCTTGCGTTTTCTGGTATTTCGAGCTAAGCGATTATCTAGACCTTTCATGGGGAGGGGGAAATCCTTCTATCTTTTTTATTTTTCTGATGCAGTACTTTGATCGTGCAAAATTTTTCTGAACAAATTTATGCAAAGAACATCTTAATAAATGCATCTTTGCAAACTTGATATTTTCAATGACATTCCAACTCCCAACTCCCGATGAACGATGCTTTGCACTTTGAAAATGTATACGCAGAATCGCAAGTATTCAAATGATGAAATTCGTTCAGCACTGTGAAAGTGATCATTTTAAACTAAAAGTTAGCCTCATGATAAACATTGCCGTGTTGACCTCGAGAAGTATGTACTGATAAAAGAACCAGGATTTCTAAACATAACGGAGACTAGGTTATGCAAATTATTATATACTTCATTCAAATGCAGACTCACATGTAAATTAGCATAGCCGATCGACTTGGCAAGGACGCATTAATAAAATCTGTAACGTTTCAGAAAATATATGTTTGTCGGTTCCGTGTATTTCACTGACTAGATTATTTGTCATATTCTCTCTACAATTGTGGAATTAAGTAGAGTGTTGCCTGACAGCATCCCACCTTTGCCACAGTATGTGGGTGACTTTAGCCATTGTTTCAGTAATTGTCTGTTTGTTGTGGAGTCTGACCGGACGACGGAAGGGACTTCCACCAGGTCCAACATGTTATCCAATCATAGGGAATGTCGGACTCATCAAACCCTCAGAAGCCATGAAAGCTCACAGAAAATTTAGAAAGATTTACGGAGATTTCTACTCTTTAATGATCTTCCACAGACCCGTCATTTTCATCCATGGTCTCCATAACATACGGGAACTTTTGGTCAAGCATGGGGATGTGTTCTCAGACAGACCAAAGGTGTTTCTATCTGAAGTCCTTGCTAAAAGAAAAGGTAAAAAAAAATAGCATCGTTGCTTATATACTTTCTACTGAATGAAGAAAACATGTTTTGTTTATTGATAAAAAAAATTGAATGTACAGTCCCTGAAACGTTCTGCTAATTCCCACTTGAACGGTGAGCGAACGGTGAGCAAACGCAGGGCGAACGGTGAGTGAACGGTGTGTTCACGCTGAACGCAATTTGGTGAACGGTTGGTAAGCGTATGCAGAACGCGAGCGCAAAGTGAACGGTGAACGCACGATATGAACGATTTTTTTTAAATGTCTCTGATCTCTTCCTTGCATTGTATGTATTCGATTGTATTCTATTGTCAGGTGCAAAAAAAAAAAAAAAAAAAAAAAAAAAAACCAAAACCAAAAACAAAAAACCATAGATGAAATATACATGTATGGAGATAACGAACAGTATTCCAGCTCAAAAGTCCATTCAAACAATGCAAATCTGGAGCAAAGCAAACACGGACCTCAAAATTTAGAGGTGGAATCAGGTGCCATGGAGAAGTGAGCATCCCCTGCCGACCGGTCACACCCGCCGTGTGCTCCTTGTCACGATCGAAATAAAAAGAAAATCCGTAGACAGTTCAGTGTAAAATAATGACCTAACAATTATTATGAAAAACGTCAGTCAGCATTTGACTCAATGATAGGTTGCATGTGCTGACAAGGTCATTGTATCGACCATAGAACTTGCGAAATGATGACTTTAAACGAGACTGTTGATATCCTCAAGCTTGTTTCATCAACTTGTTTGTCAATAGTTTGCCTCGTTTTAGAAATTGTTCATACGTAGAGCATGCTCTTGCGTATCGAATCAACTGGGAGATATAAACCCCATATAGGGTATATTGCTGCATAAGAAAGGGAAGTTGACGATTGAAAAGTTAAAGTCATCACGTTTATCATAAAGTCTTGTTGCTAGGTTACCATTAACGTATTTTTCTAGCAAAATATCCAGATATGAAACAAATGTGTCAGACTCTGTGGTATCTTTTATTTCAAGTTCACTTGAATATATCGAGTCCACATTTGAATAAAAATAACCATTGTTAATTGATAATATGTCGTCGATGTATCTAAATCTAAATGTCGAGTGTTTTCTTCCCGTGTATAAGTTTTTGAATAAATTCTGCTTCTTATGAATATAAAAATAGGTCTGCTAATAACGGGACAGATTGTTGGAAGACCTGATCTCCAAAATCTACGTAGATATTGCCAACCAATTTCGTGAAATTAATTTTTAACAAAATATTTTTTCGGAAAAAGGTTGAGGGGGAGGGGCAGGTCCCCAATACTCACAGCGTTAGGGGTCCTGCTGCTTAATATATGAGTAAGGAGAATATAGAAGCTGAGCTTTATGCTGATCTCAGTGCAATTGATGCTAAGAGATAATACTGAGAGAAACATTAAATAGGTTGAAGTCGGCGCCCCTGACTCCGGAGATGTTATAGACAAACTATTAGAAAATAGTTTATATGAATTGACATCAAAATCGTCGTCCAGTAACCGTGGCGCAGAGGATGTATCTAACATGAGGGATACCTTAAGTCATGTAGATTACCCACAATCAGGTTACAGTTTGTATCGAGAAGATGAGCACATGGGCATGGAAGGAGACAGAAAAGTCAGTACATGTAAATATGACTTGCTGAGGAAAGGTTCAATCGGGCAGCCTGTGTTTTCCGAGGCACATCCTACACCTGGTTTTCCTTGGTGCACTTCGGGTGCTACAACGACGACAACTAGTGTAACTTGGACGAAAGCGCTAGGTACAGGAACTAGCTCGCATTTTTGGGTAGCATAAAAGTCTAATGTGAGCACGCAGGGAACACAAAGTAATGCTGAGGGAGGTTCAGATGGTAAATCTGTAATGAGACCAGCAACGTATGATGGAACCGGGTCTTGGATAGATTGTAAGCTCACTTCGAGGCGTGCAGTGATAAAAACATTTGAAATGAGCGCCATACAGGCTTATATCTTGCAGCGTCATTGAGTGGACAAGCGCAGACTGTCCTTGGAAATATGAAGGGAGGTACGGCTTGTACATATATGGATTTATGTGATGCCTTAGAAGATAGATTTGCACCAGCGAATCAAACAGAGCTATATCGGGCAATGCTGAGAGATAAACGACAAAAGACGTCCGGAACATTACCGGAGCTCGGTGAGAGTATAAGACGCTTGGCTCACCTAGCTTACCCGGCAGCACTTAGAGAAGTTACCGAGATGATTGCCAAGGATCAGTTTGTTGATGCGTTGAAAGATTTTGATATACGCATTCAATAATCACACCTCAAATCTCTAAATGATGCTATACGTTTAGCAGTTGAAATTGAGGCTTTTTGTAGAGCCGGACGCCATGATGCCGGTTTTGCAAGCGGAGTTACTCAGAGATCAAGAAAATACCAGAGAGACTCATAAAGACTCAAGTGTGAAAGACGAGAAATGAAGCAGCTACGTAATGAACTACAGGGATCATTAAGAAATTTAAAAAGGAACATTGCAGACTTGGCTGTAATAAAAGAGACCCTAATTAACCACCCACTTGTAATCATTTATTGAAACCAGATGCTTTTCCATATAAATGTCACAACTGCGGAAAACGTGGTCATAGAATTAAAGACTTTTTGGTAAAGAATAAGCAAACTAGTGAGAGAAAACAGAAATACGAGTCAAAACGATCAATCAAAAAGTCACTCAGAGACTCAAACCCGGAATAAAAGCAAAAAAGTTGTATATAGTACAACTGCGGTCAAGCAAGGGCAATTCAATAAAGAATCTGGCTTGTTCATCAAAGCTTTTGTGAATCATGTGCCATGCAATTTGTTGGTTGGCAGATAGACTATATATAATGAAATAGAGAGCAAAGGAGACTGTGCACTAGAACTTGTAAAGTAAGTATACTAGGCGCAGATGGAACACCCCTGAAGGTTTGAGGACAAGGGGATTTTTCACTGCTACTCAATGATGATGAATTTGATTGCAATTCTTTTATAGCAAAAATCAAATCTGACGGTATTCTTAATTTTTTTTTACTAGATGTATCTGAGAAGAAAATGTATATTCACGGAGTGGAACATGAATTGCAGCTAAAAGGACATATTGGATGTTCCCGTGTTAATAAATCAGAGACAATATATATAGACTTAATAGAAGGGAAGTCATATGTTCAGGTCAGTTATCATATCTCAGGATGGTAGCAAAGAGGCCAAAGTTGAAGAAATCAAATCAGGGAAAAGTCAAAGCAATAGTGACCAATCCTCATAATAGTGGCACTGAAAACCTGACTTGTAGTTTGTCTGATAGTAACAAAAGAGAGTTTTAAATGTGAGCAATGTGCTCATACCTTCGACACGAAGACTGTGCTTACAAGACACATGAATAAAGAACACTCCTGGAAGGAGCCAGGAGAAATGGCGGAGTTAATGCAAATGGAGAAATCGTCTATGAATTCCACTAAAAGTTCGGATGAGGATGACTGGATGAGGATTGGGATCCTGGAGAGCCGATTTGTAAAGTGAAATGTTTACCAGTTGAATTTGTTACAGAGACTGGGATAAACGCCGACACAACCAGGACTAACAGCCATCAGAAAATAAATCACATCCTTAGAAACTATCAGAAGGATGGTGAATTTAAAGAGAAAGTGGAAGAAGACATTTGGTTTGATTTTTGGCTTGATTAATCAGTCTTAATTTGATATTTTGATCGTGTACAGTTATTGACTGGTGGCCTAATTTTGTTGCATGTTTTAAAAGAACCTTTTGTGATTATTCTCTCTTATAACAGTGTTTCTTGAATACCAAAACAGTTGCTAGATATGTAAAAAAAAAAAACATAAAAAAAAACACATAAAAACAATCTTAGTTTTCAATCAAGTCACAAGCGGGACGCATGATATCAGAGGCGTGGGTAATGTAATGGTTAAGGGACATTTGTGTAAAACGCAATAAAGACCTCAGATAGTGGAATAACCCGATAACTCTTGGTATGAACTGGCCAAAGGGTATATAAATCGAAGCTTTGAGAAAGTCAGGCATTCAGAAGTGATCTGAAGAAGTTGACGACTGAATCAGAAGCTAGCTGAAAAAGTTGGCAGAGAATATAAAGAAGTTAAGGGTAAAAGTAGAATAAAAGTACAACAGTTATCAGCACCAGTGGCAAGTATCCAAGGAAATTAATGTTAAGTTCTGGATGTAGTAAACCTGAAGAAGATTGAGACACCCGGTTCTTAAGATTATACGCAACGTACATTGCCTGTTGGTAATTTTTCAAGAAATTCTTAATTTAAAATGAAGGTACTCTCAAATGTTCTTAGACAAAAAATCAAAATATATTACCAGGGTTTTTGAAAAGATAACATATATATATATAACAATTTGGTGTTTTTCTTTGACATAACAACAAAATTTGCAGCGCTTGATGTAATTGCCGTATTTAAATTTAATCTTTTCAGCATTGCTCTTAATAAATATACTTACAGCATAATTTATTTTTAAGATTAATTTGATAAATGACCTAACAGTTAAGTTAAAAAAATATATTGTAGCTATTGCTTCCCCCATAAAATAAAGATTTTTTAAACAAGATGTTTTTTTAATTAAATTTCAAAACTAGTAAACCTTATTTACACGTTCTTTTTTCCCTTTTAAAAGATAAGTCCTTTCACTTCGGAGTTCCGAATGACGATGAAGAATGAATGATGGGTGAACGAACGGTGAGCAAACGCTGAACGCTTGGTGAATGATGAACGCGAGCGGTTGGTGAGCGCTGAGCGCAAAACTATGAAAGGTGAATGCACGCTGAACGAACGCCGATCGAACACTGAACGAACAATCAGCGAACGGAAAAATAATTTCAGGGGCTGCATCGTGTAAGCAGGCTTATGAATGAAGAGACCAGATCTTAGGTTGGCTCTGTATTTCATGTTAGTTATGAAATAGTCGCCCGCGTGGCGCAGTGGTTAGAGCGTCTGCTCTAGGGTCGCGAAGTAAGGAGTTCGAATCCCACTGTGGGACGTGGAGACCGGTCCTTCGGATGAGACCGTATAAACCGAGGTCCCGTGTCGCAGTAGGTGCTGGCACGAAAAAGATCCCTCACTGCTCAATGGCCGTAAGTATAGGACAAAATTTGCAGCTCTCCACCGGCAAGTGGTGGCGTCTCCATATGAGTGAAAAATTCTCGAGAGGGACGTTAAACAACATACAATCAATCAATCAATAGTTATGAAATAAGGGTTTAAACTAAGACCGGGAAAGATTGGAAATTTTCGGCTAATGTCATTTCCTACTATTACGTATACAGTCAAAACATTTGGTGATAGATAATGAAATGGGCGGGTACAATTCTGCGCGGGCGTCTGAGAAAACATTGGATTGAAATTCTAGTTCAATGTTGTTTTCAATCCACGTAAGCTATTTTCATTCGCAAAGTGTTACTGTTTGATCCAAAAGACAAATAATTTCAATTTCGGAATTGAAAATCAACTTCAAACTTTCAATCCAATGTTTTCTCTTCCCTGTCGAATTGTACCCACCCATTTCATTGTCTATCATATAACATTTTGACTGCAACGGATGAAAATGATTTAAGCTGCACGTTCCCAACCTTGCCAATTAATGTTCCGTGGTCTTAAAATTGATTGAAATTTTTGACATTCCAAGAATCCATGTCAAGCATTCATACCTCAAAACTTGTTAAATAAACCTAAACGTGTGAGAGAGAGAAAGAGAGAGTCCAATTACCAAAATTTCCATCGGAAAAATTAGAACAAGCAATAAAGTAATAAACTATAGGTTTACGGAGATGGAGGCAATCTGGAATAATGTAATTTCTTTCCACAATATTTTGAGACGTGTATTTTTTCTTGCTGGTTATTATCCGGTCGTGGGATACAATAAAAGTATTAATTTTTGAAACTTTATCTTTTGTTATCAGGCTTGAGAGCAATTTCTTTTTACAATAAAAACCTTTGCATTTTTAGCTCACCTGAGCCAAAGGCTCAAGTGAGCTTTTCTGATCAAAATTTGTCCGTTGTCTGTCGTTGTTGTAAACTTTTCACATTTTTATCTTCTTCTCAAGAACCACTGGACCAATTTCAACCAAACTTGCCACAAAGTATCCTTGGGTAAAGGGGGTTCAAGTTTGTTCAAATGAAGGGCCACGCCTTCTTCCAAGGGGAGATGATTACGACTTAGTGAAAAATTAATGGCATCATTCAAAAATCTTCTTCTCTATAACCACTGTGCTAGAAAATATGAAACTTATGTGGAATCATCCTCAGACAGTGTAGATTCAATTTTGTTCAAATCATGACCCCCGGGGGTAGGGTGGGGCCACAATGGCCGATCAAAGTTTAACATAAGAATACATAGGGAAACTCTTAAAAAATCTTCTTCTCAAGAAAAGCAAAGCCATGATTGGTCATATTTATACGCAAGCATCGCCTTGTAGTGTAGATTCAAGATTGTTCAAATCATGACCCCAGGGGGTAGGGTGGGGCCACAATGGCCGATCAAAGTTTAACATAGGAATACATAGGGAAACTCTTTAAAAATCTTCTCAACAAAAGCAAATCCATGATTGGTCATATTTTTATGGAAGCATCGCCAGGTAGTGTAAATTCAAGTTTGTTCAAATCATGACCTCCAGGGATAGGCAATTATGGGCGATCAAAGTTTTGCATAGGAAAACATAGGGAAAATCTTAAAAAATCTTCTTCTCAAGAAAAGCAAATCCATGATTGGTCATATTTATATGGAAGCATCCTCAGGTAGGGTAGATTCAAATTTGTTTAAATCATGACCCCCGGGGGTTGGGTGGGGCCACAATGGCCGATCAAAGTTTAACATAGGAATACATAGGGAAACTCTTTAAAAATCTTCTTCTCAAGAACAGCAAAGCCATGATTGGTCATATTTTTATGGAAACATCCTCAGGTAGTGTAGATTCAAGTTTGTTCAAATCATGACCCCGGGAGGAAGGGTGGGGCCACAGTGGGCAATCAAATTTTTACATAGGAAAACAAAAGAAAAGATCTTTAAAAATCTTATTCTCAAGAACAGCCAGGCCTTGATTGGTCATTATAAAATAAAAGCATCCTCATGTAGATTCAAATTTGTTGAAATCATGACCCCCAGGAGTATAAGGGGCCATTACAGGAGATAATAGTTATACAAAGGAATAAAAAGGATATATCATAAAAAGAATAATACAGGGATATGTCTAACTTGATCTCTTTGTTCGAGGTTTGGCCTGGTCCTCTGTGTCATGGTGGAAGGAACAGCGAACATTTGCTCTGATAACGATGCGAAAATTTGGATTTGGAAGACGATGTCTCCAAAGCCAAGTGATGGAAGAAGTGGACTGTTTGATGGAAGAGTTTGAAAAATACGAAGGTCGACCATTTGACATCCAAGAACAACTAAAAATTAGCATATCAAACGTTATATGTTCCCTAGTGTTTGGCAAAAGATTCGACTACGAAGACGTCAAATTCAAGCGCTTGTTGACTATGTTGAAAACATTAATTAAAATTATAAATCTTTCAGCCCCGGCATTCTTTTTTCCTCAGTTGACCCTTTTTACTGGTTATAAAAAAACACTTCCAGTTATCAAAGCTCTGACTGAATTTGTTGGTGAAATTGTTGAGGAACACAGACAAAACTTTGACGAGAACAACATCAATGATTATATTGACGCCTATATTGCAGAGCAGAAACGCAGGACTGGTGAAATTAACACAACATTCACAGGTAAACCATCACAAATACAGTAGAACATTGTTATCTTGAACTCGACATTTCGAAATATCAGAGGATTCGAGATAATGAGGTTAACAAAAACATAGTAATTATATTGAAAAAGTGGTTGGGACTGACAAAGTACTTCGATAAATCCCCTGTATTCCATATATCGGTATTCGAGTTAAGTGTTTATATATTCTTTATACGTTCAAAATCTGCTTAGTTGACACTATCATGCTTAGCTTGAAAATCGTTAATTGATAAAAATTATGAAAATCGTAAAGGAGATCAGGACCTTTGTTTTCTGCTTGTTGAGAATTTTAGATAGGTCACATATATGGTTGATATACGACCTATTTAACGATTTCTTGTGCAACAAGTAAAACATGAATATACATCTGATGTAATTCAAATTAGATCCAAATAAATCTATTACATGAAATATTTGGAGATAAAAAGAATCTAAAATGGATCCAAATAAATCTATTTACAGAAAAAGAATCTAAAATGGATCCAAATAGATATTTAACAGAAAACTTAATTCAAAAGTTACATCGACAAAAATCACTGATTTTAAATTTAAGCATCAAATGGTCGTATAGATTAAAGTTTTCGAAAAATGGCACTTGCAGCATTGAAGAGGCCACATTAGGGTTAAAAGTTAAGCAGAGAAATGTAAAGTTTTTTTTTTAATCTTCTTTAGATCTACAAAGCATACCCAAGCTTCTCCATGTAATACACATCTAATTCCCTGAAGTTGGAAATATATAGAAGCATGTACAAAAAAAATCACAAATCAAATACGACTACATTTTTTAAAAGTAAATTTTCTTTGTAAACATGCTCCTGTACTTAACATTTCAGAATTTTCAATTTCTGTGCCCTCTGGTAGGAATGGGGTTAAAAAGGACAGATACTTTTTTTGTAGAAAAATTAATTTTTAAACGTTCAAAAAAGTAGAAGTAATATACATGTATTGTCCGTATAAAATGAAAATGTGCTCACGGACTTAAATTTGTTCTGAACTTCGTTGCATTGCACAATTGACGAGATAGAATTGGTAGGTTTGGTTCTTGTTTCACAAACGAGTAGGAAAAAGAATACACAGTTCCAAAACTTGGTCTTTGAGAATCTTGGTCTTTGTGACTTTTAAGGCTCATGGGCCTTTAGCGTAGGATTGTTTACTTTATACGTGATTCAAGTATCTTCCTTGTTGTAGACGAACAACTAGCTGGTACTGTTCGAGATTTTTTCTCTGCTGGGACACAGCCGACGGCTCTAACATTGACTTGGGTCCTTCTGTATTTAACTAACTATCCCGAGATGCAGAGGAAACTCCAGAAGGACATCGATTGTGTTATAGGTCAAGGCCAACCCAGTATGGAGCATAAAGAACAATTGCCAATGGTGGAGGCATTTATACTTGAGGTTCAGCGAGTGGCGGACATTCTCCCTTTGAACATACCACGTACAACAAGCGAGGACTTTTGGTATCAAGGTTATCTCTTTCCAAAGGGAGCAGTTATGTTTTTCTTGATAGGTTCTGTGCTGTCTGATCCGGACATTTTTCCAGAGCCTTCCAAATTCAAACCAGAGAGATTTTTGGACGAGAACGGAAAGTGTTCTACAGTGCAGAAAAACAAACTCATTGCTTTCTCAGCAGGTGAGTCGTTTTAATCTATCCATTGAGAATAGATATAGTTGAACTTCGGTATCTCGAACACTGATATCTCGAATACCATGGATATGTTGAAGTGATTTGGAAGTCCCAACTGCTTATTCTTTAAGTATTTTACCCTCGATATCTCGAATCCTCGGATATCTCGAATTTTTTTTCTTGGTCCAATCGAGTTCGAGATAACGAGGTTTCACCTTTAAAATATGGTATGGAAACTTGAAACAGTTTATACAGACATTCTTTACTGCGAAAGTACATATTTGTCACAAAGTTGTCATACAATGCCATCCTTATTGCATCTCTCTCTCTCTCTCTCTCTCTCTCTCTCTCTCTCTGAAGGGTGGCTTTTTCTTTGAATACATTGGGTTTCCTCTCATGTGACCACAGAACAATGTGAATCAATCTCAAATATAATATTCAGAAAATCTTTAAGGATCTGGTGGTCATATCAGTTTTTTCCCCAACGATTTTCCATTTAGTTGAAAATATAGATTTGGGGAAGAATGAGGACGACGGCTTTTTCTTTGAATACATTGGGTTTCCTCTCATGTGACCACAGAACAATGTGAATCAATCTCAAATGTTATATTCAGAAAATCTTTAAGGATCTGGTGGTCATATCAGTTTTTTCCCCAATGATTTTCCATTTAGTTGAAAATATAGATTTGGGGAAGAATGAGGACGACTGCGTAATAAAAATGTGTTAAAAATAAAACCTTTATAAACTGTACTGCTAACTTCTATTACAAATTATCTAACTTCTTGAGTTATGACCTTTGGCAAAAATAAAAGATTTCAATACATATTTTTCTTTTTACAATGCCAGTATATTTCTCTGCCATAAAACAATTTTATGATTATATCAGGTCGCCGAATATGTCTAGGAGAGCCACTCGCCAAAATGGAGCTATTTCTGTTCTTGACAAGAATTTTGCAGAGATTTGATGTAAAGCCAGAAAACCCTGATTGCTTGCCATCCCTAAAGGCGTCACTTGGTTTTGCTAACGAGCCACAAGCCTTTAATTTGAGACTTGTTAAACGTTCAGACACGACTTTTGCAATGAAGACATGGTAGTTGTACAAAACAATGTTCAGAAGCATCAAAAGAGGAATCATGGTGTAGATAATACTTTAAAATCGTGTTAACCTTTAAAAGAATTTATGCATAATATTTTCATCATTATGTAATATGGTGTACGGAGGGCTGTTAGAAAAGTTTGCGGACAAATCGTGTTGCGAGTACGCTATTCGCGTGAAGTCATTAAAACTCTGCAGACAACAAATCTAAGTTTTTCCAATAAGTATACTGCATTTTTTCAAATGTTCAATAATTTTCCTGTAAATCACCGTGTCCGCGAACTTTTCTAACACCCCTCGTATTAATGTAAACAGAAAAATCATTGAAAGCTCATTTTCACATTCTTCTAACGTAATATCATTGTCAAGTCCTTTTTTTCCTTTGCAGGAACATATGTTCATGTAGTGGAAGTTTTTTTTTTTAATGCAACCGGAAGTTGAATTCTTTTGTAATACAAATGTCAAAAAGTTACTAGCTAACTTGCAATTGACTTAAAATGGTACTAAACCTCTAGTTATCAATGATTAACTCATCAGGGGATTTGAACTATGATGAACACTAAATGAAAACACTGTTAAAAGTTTTATAATAATGTCTCCCTCTCTAACTGAATGTGTCAACCACGTATCAACATGAAACATAAATTATCACATCATTGTTCTCTGTTATCCACTGTTATTTCGTACCCTAAACTCTAAGTCAACCTTCCCCAAAAGTTTCATGTCACTGCCATTTTCCGTGGTTAAAAGCACAAGGTTTCAAAAAGGGCCTATTCTTAGAAGTGATAAAAACATATCTCTCTATCAAACAACCTGAGACTTATTTACATTTTCTCCTACAACACAACTAACACTTAAACATGATTTCTGTAATAGACTGACTCTTAATTTCTGAGTAGCCCTATTATCACTAGAGTTTTGAGTCACGCTGTGGGCTTCAAATGCAAACTTTGCTAATTCTCCTGATCATTAACTAATGATATGGCACGCCAAATTCACAAAAAATAGATAAACATAGTTTAACTGTTGATAAACTAAGTTTGTCGATTGTAAGCTATAGTTTACGAACTGTAAACTATAGTTAACGATTTGTAAATAATTATTTTTATCTGTAAATAAAAAAAAAATATTTAACAGGTTGTAAAGTGTAGTTTACGAATGCTATTCTAAGTCTATCTGTCTGTAATTAAACGTTAACAATAGATTTTACTGATAAATATAGATTCTTATTTGTAAACTATAATTTACATTCGTTAACCATAGTTAAAAGTTGTTAATCATAGTTTCACATATCGTGAAACCATATTTATCAGATAAACTATGTTTTACATTCGATAATTATAGATTTCGGTCGTTAACCATAGTTAACTGTCATTAATACTCATAAACTGTATTTAACAGACGTAAACTATACTTAACGATCGTAAACTAAAGTTTTGAGAGATAAACTATGATTCACATTTGCCAATCATAGTTTATCGTCATTAACTATAATTCACACTCGTAAACTATAGTATAGAGTTGTTATATATAGTTTATGAATCTAAACACCTGTTAACTGTTAACCATAATTTTCAATTCAAAATCTCCCGGCACCAATCGCTAGAGGAAATACTGAATGTGCGTCATTGCTGTAAGTTCTATATAAAAACGAAACATATAAGCAGAATTACTTAATTCTTATAGTCTTTAATTTATAAGTCAAGCTTTCAGCAACTCTTTTGATACCAGCAAAGCTCAGTCATTTTTTTTGATCAGCGCAAAAGATTGGAAAGGCGGCAAGTATAAATGTCAGTGATTTATTCCGTTGCTGATGAAGAAAAAATTGATTACAAACCTTCAAAATGCATTTTTCCAGATCTTTCTCATTTAAATAAAACATTAATTTTACTCAATAGTTTTCCTGTCATTTTCTTTTTATTTCCAACTAGATTTGCTTTAAAATGAAAGAACATTTACTTTTAATGTGAACAAGAAATATATACATGTATATATATATTTAACAACCAATGAAAATAATTGATGTATAGCTAAATCTTTACTACTATAGCTAGATTTAACCTATCTATAATTTACGGACAAAACTATTGTTAACTATAGTTTTGATCGTAAACTGTACTTAAGAGTCGTGAAGTATAGTTTTACAGAAAACTGTGCATCTCCGATACAAAATCAGAGATTCTGGCGTTAAACTGTAAAACTATATTTATCATAATTTTGTGAATTTGGAGCCTTAAATATCTGTAAACTATAGGATACAACCCTAAATTATAATTAACACACGTTAACTATAGTTTAAAGTTATGAACCATAGTTTACAAATCGTGAAACCGTATTTATCAGATAAACTATGTTTTGCTATCGCAAATGATTGTTTCCGGTGTTAAGTATAGTTTACACTTGCGAAACATAGATTAAAGCGTTAACTATGGTTTAGAGATGTGAAATATAGATTAACATCGTTAACTATGGTTTACGGTCCGTAAAGTATAGTTTAAAGTCGATAAACCTAGTTTATCAACTGTGAAACTATGTTTAGCTCATTTTTGTGAATTTGGCGTGCCATATGAAGAGGTTTGAGAAGGGATTGCTTTATCTTTTTCTACCCTAACACCAGTATTGTGAAAATTACAGTTTTTACTGTTTGTCCTAACTTATGACAGTTTAACACTCATTTACTCTCCTTGTCTGTTTTCTACCTCCCAGTAAGAATTTGCCATTTTTTAAACACATTTATTTCTTAAGTTTTAACCAATGTCAACAACTCATTAGGAGAATTCACAGGAGTATTTTCATTTAGTGTTTATACATTATTTACACCAGGCTTAATAATGGAGAGTTGTGGTCCCTTAACTGCCCCCAATTCTGTTGCTAATGATATGGCACTCTCTAACGTCTTAGGGTAATGCAAAAGCACATTGGATCTGATTTCACAATTAAACAAAAAATTTAAAAGTTATCATCTCTCGCCGAGGAGCAGATATCCTTAAAGGAAAATCTCAAACTTGGAATTTCTATTACAATGTCACTCATTTAGCGATTAAGTTTTTACAGATCTATGACAAGAAACTTTTTAATATCAACTTCACAGTCCCTGTATGCAGAATCAGAATGACTTTTAGCAATTAGTTATTTTGTAGATTACCAATTACAAGAAATGAAAAATTGCGAGTTGTCTATGATGTCAAAACGCCTGTTCTTTAATTCGTCGTGAGGAATGGCTGTATAAATGTAAAAAGTAAAGATAACGAAAAATCCATAAACAATGCAGATATGTGAAGATGGCATAAAACACGGACCCCTGGAAATTCCAGAGGTGGGATCAGTGAAGAAAAGTCATGTTCTGGCGCTTTAGTTTTGAGATTATAAATTTTCCAAAAGTTCTTTGGAGTTTTTAGAATCCACATTTGATTTACACCACTTCTCGAATATGTAGCTGCACAATATGTTTGAAGTTTCTCCATCACAGCAGTTAATATTTTTTGAGGAGTATGAATAGAGGCCTGGTAGAACATTTACTGGACACTGTAATATATCTTTGTTCGTGAGGATTTATGTGACATTTTGAAATCAAACTCACTACCATTGACTGGAGTGTTAAAAGTATTGAAAACTGAAATGTGATTTTGAAGAATTTCATCCTTTGAAAAGGAACTCTGAGTATAGGTGGATCTCCAATGACACGATATAATATCTCGTGCGAACGACATACCGTGGATGTATTTCCTAATGAAAAAAAATGACGGTAACGAAAGTGATGATTTTAAAATATCCACAAGCAATACAATTCTGTTAACAGGGCATAAGAAAGGACCCACGAAAATTGCAGAGGTGGGAGCAGGTGCCTAGAAAGAGTAAGCATCCCCTGTTGACAAGTCACACCCGCCGTGAGCCCTATGAATAAATCAGGTAAAACGGGACAATCCGTTGTCGAATTTAGTATAAAAACAAAGGCCAAACAATTGACCCAATTATAGCTAATATTTGTTAACAGGGTCATTGATACGACCATTGAATTTATGAAGTGCTGACTTTAAACAAGGTTGTTGAAACCTCCGTAACATCAACTTACATGTATCTGTCAGTAGCCTGTCTTAATTTAAAAATTAATCGTGCTCTTAGGTATCGAATAAGTTGGTAGACGTATATATCATATTCAAATATTTAAATTCCACATGTATTTTGCTTATAAAGTGTCAGGAAGCTAAGGCATTCAAAACAGCATAAACAGACAGGGGGTCAAAAGGTTAAAGTATGCGTTTTATATTCGTCACAATGGTTGAAAGCCCTGGAATTGCAACGTCATAAGCGATAATCAAAATTCACGCTCACATTGAACAAAGGCTGTTCCATTAATTGTAACTTACACAAAGGATAATGCAAAGATTTTGAAATATAAATCACATTCGCAGTCAAGGCAAGGAGTTAAAAATGTAAATATAAGCATTGAATCATTATTTTTTGAAAGATATAGTCTCATAACTGCAACGGAGTGTGCAAACAAATTTTCATAACGCGCCTTACTTAATTTGTTGCACACACCGTTACAGTTATGACTGTATCTTTCAAAAAATAATGATTCAATGCTTAAATGTTAGCGGAATATTACTACATAAATAAGGAAAGTTGACGATGGAAAAAGCGGAAGTCATCCCGTTTGTTAGACAATTTAGTTGTTAGTTGGTCTTTATCGTCTATAGTAAGTAGAACGTCCAATATGAAGTAGACGTGACAAACATAAGAAGGACAAAAAATTCTGCATATCTGAAATATATACAATTGTATAATGTGAATTTATTTTCAAATATATAGAAGTATGAAGAAGAATCTAAGTATAATGTACATTCAAGTCTGTTAACATGGTCATATGAGAATAGCTATAGGATACATACATTGTCGACGGATTTTCCCGTTATTTCCCGATCATGACAAGGAGCACAAAACGGGTGTTACCGATCGGCAGGGAATGCTCACTCCTCCATGGCACCTGATCTCACCTCTGATGTTTTTTGGAGGTCGGTGTTTGCTCTGCTCCAGATTTGTATTGATTTAAGGGGACCCGACCCTCTGCTATAAATTTCACCAAGAAAATTTAAAATTTCTAATATTGATTTTCATGAACAACAATAACATTAGAACCAAATGGAAAATAGTTTGATGTATGAAGCGCTGCTTATTTTTTCATAAACAAATTTTATGTCTTACCATGTTATGAAGAAAATTTGACACAGTGAATAGAAAGAACAATAATTTATTATCACAGCATAAAATTGAAAATACAAGATATATATATATATAAATAATATATAGTGTCAAACAAAACAAATTCATGGAAGAAAACATAATGAAGCGATGCTATTTTAGCCAGGATATCACTTTGTTATCTATACTTGCAAGGAAAAATAGTGTCCATCAGCAAGAGTTATCTTTCTTTTCAGAACTTTTCATAATAAAAATGCTACAAATGATACTGTTATTCTTCATTTTCTTTCCCTAATATTAAGGGAAATATTAATATAGATAGGTAGAAAAAATAGCTATCCAATGGATGCAAGTTCAATTGGATGAATGCTGTAAATGTACATCAGATAATGCTGACAAAAGAAAAAGGTTGACAATGTTTGCATCATTTGAAATTGGCAAAGAATAGATATGA